AAATAAATAAATAGAACAAGGTGATAATTACAAAAATAGAGAAAGAGAAAGACAATGGGAGTTTAAGATGAATTGAGAAGGTATAAAGTATGGGTTATAAGTGGGCACCTGTAACCCCAGCATTTGGGAGGCTGGGGCTGGAAGATTACCATGGTTTCTAGGCCAGACTGAGCTGCATAGTGAGTGTAAGGCCAGTGTGACCTGTATAGAAAGACTCTCTCTCTAAAAATTAACAAAAAACTAAAAATTTTAAAGTATGGGTAATACAAACTCAATTAACAGATTGCCTTATAAAACAGTGTTCTGAGCTATAGAAAGCTCAAGTCAACAACTTCTGACATTGCTAGTCTTACGTAAAACCCACTACTATTATGGACTACTGGACTATTTTGAAATATTTTGCTGAATTCACACACCTATAATATTTACATGACAAAACTAAACAAAAAAGGGATACAAATGAATGACCATTTTGTATCTGTATATTCAAAATAGGATAGATATACAGCTATATTCTCTTAATTCAGTGTATAGAAAGATTTGTTCTAATAGTGTAAACAGGATATCATGTCTGCATCTTGTACAATGAATAACCACTAAGACAACAATATGCAATGTATTAATTAATGAAACTGTCCTACTAATCAGATTTGAAACTGTCTCATTGCTACTTTTTTCTCAATAAAATTATGGAAAAAAACAAGACAGTGTTAAGTGACATCACAATATAAGAAATCATAAATTCACCATGAAAGTGGGTACTTTGTTGCATAATTTTCTATGTCACTATTTGGCTATTCAAATGTAGGCATAAATAAGTGTTGACTTTATACAAAATTCAAATTTTATATTATCTGAATAAAAAAGCATACATAAGAATATTGTCAAGTGATGAATTATGGAAACTAAGTTGGACACCATAGCAAGTAGCAGACAGCTTTGGAGAATCACAGAAGTAGAAATCAGTAGAATTGAAGACCTAGCAGAGGCAAATACTAGCAAAGGTGGAAGAAAAGGAAGTTGTAGGAAGACAAGATACTGTTTAAATTTATGATTTTGGAAGTGAACTGTTTTTAGCAGTAGTTATAGATAATGAAAAATCTCAAGCAGTGATTCATCAAAATAGAATGGAAGAGATTACCACAGGTAATATAACCAGAATTAAATAAACCAGATATTTGAATATCTAATGATTCAGAAATCTCATCAGTATAATGGCAAGTCTTATTGTAGGAAGAAAGAACAAAGAAAATCCCACACTATTTAATAGAAACAGTGAATTAGATGTAAATGACTGTAATCCTAGTGGATAAGAGAGTGCTAAAACAGAATGGCACTAGCCTCAAAAGCAAGCTCTGTGTGTGTGTGTGTGTGTGTGTGTGTGTGTGCGCGCACCCATGTGCATGTGTGTGTGTGTGTCCATGTGCGTGTGTGCGTGTGTGTGTGTGTGTGTACGAATGTTCTAAACAAAAAGAACGGACTATTTGGGAAGTATCATTAGTGAGCTAGAAAAAAAATTCCACCATGTGTTCTAAGATACTGAAGCATATCAACAGCCACCACTGGAAAAGAAATGGCTATGAAAGGACTGTATACTCATAAAAAGTGTAAAATTAACCTAAAATATTTTTTCACAAAGTAAGCACTTTTTTACACAGCAAATGAAGTCCTCTTCTCTTTACATTTCTTAAAGAGAGATCAGACATCAGAGAACTGAGACTCTCACAGGAAGAGCTCAAGGAACAGCCAGTCAGTTCTAAATAAGCATAAGAAAAAGCATAAGATTAGGAAATACAATCAGATTTTGCCTTTCCCAAATATCTACCCCACTGAGCTTTGCTCCTTTCTGTATCTGATTCATGGAGATATGCTTTCCCTTCTACTCCCTGGTAGTAGTCTCAATATTTGAAGATCATGAATTCATAGAAGTAGTTAGTGCTTAATGCTTCTCTATCTGGTAATCTGAACAACTACTTTGAAGATAACAGTACACAATGTAACAACCATTGTTGATTTCCTATCATCTTGTTCTGAAATTCTGTATCATTTTAATGTTTTTTTATTTTTCATTTTCTTTAAAATAAAAAAGTAGTTAAGACAGTTCTAGACTCACAGTGATAGTATAGTGAGATTCATTTCTTTTGCATAAAAACATTACAAAGAAATTAAGGAATCTTGCATGGTGAATTCTGAAAAGTGTTGGTCTTCTTCCTTGGGTTGAGCTATTGTCTGCAATTGACATGACCACACCAGTCATGTAAATAAAAATAACCTATAAATGCATACTGACATAAATGAATAGGTGCCACCTTATTATAAAATGTCAACCAAAGAATAAATAAATAAATACATAAACAAATAAAATGTCAACCAAGGCAACCAATTTTTTCCATTTTGCAAGGCAAATGGAAAAAATACTGAAATTAGAAAATCTTCAATGGATACTAAAAGGAATCAGTAAAATATTTATTAAGAATAGAATACTTATATAAACACAAAGTAGTTTCCAAATTATACATTAAGTTTAATGGAAAAATAAAGCAGAATCTTTTCAGTGGAGAAACTTAGTAAGCAATATGTCAACCAAAAAAGCTCACATCAACTGTAACAGAATGAAAACAAAAAATTGTAACAGAATAATTGACAATGTGTGTCTCCTACAAAGTTCACTGTAAGAGACACAACATCATGTCAGTAGTATTTTGGCTAAAGGTACATAATCTAAATCTCATGGAAAAGAGACATTGGGAAAACTCAGAATGACAATCTGCCAAATGTCTCATTTTAATTTTTGAAAAATATTGAGGTGAAGCAAAAGAACTCTGAGAAACTATTTCAGATTAAAAGCAACTAAAGAGACATGACAACCCACTACAGTGTGTGAATATAGATCGGAAACTGATCGGGGAAGAAATTACCTATAATGTACTAAGACCACTGATAAAATTAGAATATACACAATAGTCTAGATAATAGTATTGCATCTATGTTAATTCTTTAATTTTTATCTTATTGTATTCATACACAAGAATGTCTTTTGTTTTAGGACATAAATACTGCAGTATTTAGAGCTGAAAGAGCATAGTGTCTACAAGTTACTTTAAAATGGTTCAGAATATATAAATGGGTAATGAAAACTGAGAAAATGATACTGATAGTTGGGCACAGGAGTCCCTTGGATTATTTTTGGAACTTTTCTGTGACTTTGAAATCACATCAAGATTAAAAGTTACAATGGACACACTCTTGGATCAGTACTTATCTGCTTATTCCCAAGCTTCTAGTTCACAAGTTCCTCAAGCTTTGGCCCTATTTTTGCATCATATGTTTAGAAACACCTTTATGTTCAGCACCCTGAATTGTCAAACCACTACGAAATTTCTTATTTTATCTGACTTAGGTCTTTGTTCTAGATTTCTCTCTCATTACTCTTCAGTTTCAGGCACCAAAATCACATGTAAGTGACATACCAAATCATCGCATCTCCTCCTAACTCCTAGAGTGCATCCTTTTCTCCATGGGACGTGTATCTTCTGCTTCTTGCATCTTCTAAATTATACAATTGCTCTGGATGCAGCAGATGTCTAATTCAGATATCTTGGAATGATTTTTTTTGTAATGGGAATTGAACTCAGGACCTTGTGCTTCCAGGCAGGCACTGTACCGCTTATTTTGGAATGATGTGAAATTTCTCCCTTCATAAATGTGGGAGAAATCTATGGTTATAGACTACAAGCCCATTCTCAACAGTCAGAAAAGGCTAACCCAATATCCACAAATATTTTATAGATGCAAACAACAAGGGGAAGTCAAGATTTTAAAAGATTTAGAAGGGACCATCCTGTCTTACCTACATTCTGTGTCAATAAGAAAATAATCCAAGGACTTTTTGAACATAGAGGATCGAGGTAAGCAACTATTTTTGAACAGAAATTAGCAGGTGACTTTTCCAGGTCTGAGAAATGGGGAACTGAATTATTATGACATAGCTAATTGATGATCATAATACATAGAATTTTACAGAAGAAATTATGTTCCAGGAAATATATAAGAAACTTTATGTGTATTGTCTCTTTTAATTTTCATCCCAAGCTACGGAGGAAGGAAGGAGACAGTAAATCTTAACAGATTATTTTGACAAATAAGGTAATTAAGTTTCAGTGAGTTTAGGTGCCTTGTACAAGCCAATATAGCTGTGAAATAGCAGAGATGGTATTTAACTCTTTCATGTTTCTTCAGTTTTAGAGCCTATAATTTTGATCATATCAAGCCATTAACATCCCTATACTTTCCCTGCACCAATTTATTAAAGGGCTCATGTTAAACAGCTGGTTTTAGCTACTTTGAAGAAAAGATTGATTTTTAGTAAAATTGTGAGTAAATGAAGGTTTTCCATACCATTTCAAACACATCACTTGCACTTGATTTGATGAATTTAATGTCTCCAAAATCTCCTGGGGGTAACTTTTTCAACCACACCCAGTCTCCCTGAAAAACAAAGTAGAAAATAGTGATGAAATTTAATTGCCAGTAGCTTCAGAGTAATATCCTTTCCACATGAAGGGTTTATAGTAATAACAACCCAAAGAAATTTTTCCTCCTTTCTCATCCACTAACCCCTAGAAATCCTATATACTGGGCTAAAACAAGTTCATATAGGCAAGTTGAAGTTAAAAATATCAATTAACTCAATATAGAGAAAGAACTGCAAGTATAAAAACACCAGAAAAATAATATTAATCTCTGCAATGACTTCCTTAACTAACAGCAGTGTTAGATCATTTTACTTCTTCATGGCAAAGTGATAGAATACCGGACTGTGATATAGGATCAGGTGTTCTGTGATTAATGGTGCTAGTTGGTGGTTGCAATTCCTGCTCCCTTGAGGCATCAGTAGTGGAAGTTGTAGGGCAGAAGAAGCACTGCAGTAAATATTTCTTGCATTTACCTTACTCCATTTTTATCTTGTGGTACAGGTCATTTGGGGGAGAGAGGCTCTGATGTTTTAATAAGTGTATTGGTTTAAAAGTAGCAATGTATAATACAAAGACCATGCTTGAATACCTGTCATCTTGGTCTTCTAAATGTGTACTGTTTCTAATGTCATACCAATTATTACTATACTCTTTTAAAATAATTTTTAACAGGTAATAAAAGAAAAAAGAGAGATGAGAACAAAAATTTAAGATTTCTTGGAAGCAAGCGGCAATATTAAATCACATGTCCAATGTTTCATAACTATATCTATTAATCTGAGCAACAGATTTGATGATAAAATAGATAACATATCTACCAGTGTTCATCAGTTATTCTTGCTTTGAAAATCTGTAACAAATATATTTTTGTATGTTACCCTGTTTCTGATCTTTGCTCTTGCTTTTGCTTTTATTCTTCAAAATAAAATAAAATTATAAAAAATAAATGAAATAAATTTATCAAAAAATAAAATTAGATTAATATTTTTATGTACAAATGATAACCATACTATAAAAGTAACCTAGACACTTTCAAAATTATATTTCTCACTTTTGCATTCAAATTTATTTTACTTTTTAATTTTACATGTTTATGGAATATAGTAGATAATTTGATGTATATATATATACTATAAATTGGTAATGATCAAATATATGTAATTATGGTTTTTTTTTACTTTTTAAATACAAAATTGCTGTTTCTAAGGGTGTTGTCAGCAATTACTCTTGTCTTCAGTTCAACACCAGTGCATGAGAGAATTTTATTCTGCACGCATAGCCCTAAGAATTAATCAGTCATTGAGTCCTATTTGGATCTGTCCAACCCAACTCACAGAAAAAAACAATATAAATATAGGTTTCTTTTTTTCTGTAATAATAATAATGTCTTACATTTTCCCAGGGCTCTGTACTCTTCAAAGTGCCCAAACATCTATTACCTATAGCCTGGAGATTCCATTTCAGGCTGCACCAACTTGTCATCAAATAGAAATAGTAAGGCAGAGAGCTCTGTGCAATCAAATTCTGAGATTAAAAAGTGTAAGAACTCTCTTATTAAGAAATATATCCAGCTATCACAGTGCATCTGGTAACAGCTAGAGGTCAGGGAAAATGGAGGCTGCCAGCATCTGAGTTACTTGCTGATACTTCATGCTAGAAAATATATTCTAGCCAAAGATCTCAAAACTCTTTGACTAGCAAACAGCTCCAAGAGATTTTTATCAGCTAAACAGAACTGCAGCAACCAATTTCACTGTCCACAGAATCCAGAAGGGTAACCCAGGATCAGAGCCTGCTTGCACTAGAATATTCAAATCATTTGATCCAGCAATTCTCCAAGTGTAACCCTGGAAAAGAGGCTTCAGTATTACTTGGAAGCTGCTTAGAAATGGCAGTTCTCATGTTCCACCCAACACGTATGAAATCAAAACTCGTGGGAGATGAAGCCAAGAATTAATATTGTATAAATCCCTGTACATGACTTGGATACATGTGGAAGTTTGAGACATATGTCTCATCTCTGTGTGTTCCTCTCACTGATACCACCTCAGTTGCTCATCACTAAGTTAAAATGAGTGCTCAGTCTGGCATCTTAAACTCATCCATTAAGCATTTGCCTGGCAAACTCATGGGCCTGAGTTCAACCACTGGTTCCGAAAAAAGAAAAATTAAATGGCAATGGAATACCCATCTCTGACAAAACCAAACAAAAAAGGAGGTATAAATGAATGACCAATACGAACACTGCTATACTGTGTCTCAAGTAAATGTGTATTTTAAAAAACAGGGTAAAAAATGAAAACAAGAGACAAGAAAAAAGAATGTCATAGCACTGTCCTGCTACAATGCTGTATATGGTTAGATTCTAAATTTCTGTGTAAAAATATGTAATTGTTTATTCCTATTATTAAAATATTATTTTATTTTTTATTTTTTATTTTAATCTTCACATTCAGTAGGGCTTTAAAGTTTAACATATCAACAGCTGATGGAAAATACCTGCTCCATGTTATGTCTAAGATGTTTGATATTTAGACAGATAGTGAGGTTAAGCTCAACTGCCTATTTTACAAGGTAATAATATCATTAAGTTTCTCTTCTGGAGGGTTAACAACTTCAGTTTGCAGACAAAAAATTAGAGAAAAAGAAGGGCTGCGAGGACAGCCAACATTTTGGCCCTAGCCCTTCAACGTCAGTGAGGATTCATTACATAAGAGAACCTGTGCTGTAACTCAGAGATATCCCAAATTTTCTGATCAAGGCGATTATAGGGCCACAGAGGAATGTGATTGATGATGTAGAGTGTACCTATGGAGAGTCACATGTAGAGAAAACATTCTTTCAGGCTTTCACAGAGAGCACATTGGCCAAGCAATGGCCGTGACTCATCCACAAGGCTGACACTGACAAGGATCTACAAACTGTGGTACAGGGTTTCATGGTAAATCTTGAGGGGATTTGACTGACTTTGTCAGATACAAAAGTCATATTTCTTGTTATATAGGTCTTGTTTTATCTTGGTCTTAACCATCCAACAGAAAAGTATAAAAATGAAGTATAAAAGGTAAAGCCAGGTTAATATGCTGAGCTGTAAAAGACTCAAGTCAACAACTTCTGACATTGCCAGTCCTGTGGATAACGCACTACTATTATGGACTACTGGACTATATTAATTATTTTCCTGAATTTACACACCTATAATATTTAAATGGCAATGGAATACCCATCGCTGAGAAAACTAAACAAAAAAGGGGATACAAGTGAAGGACCATTTTGTATCTGTATATACAAAATAGGATAAATATACAGCTACTTTCTCTTAATTCATGAGAAGAAAGAATTGTACTACTAATGTTTGGACAGGATATCATGTCTGTATTTTGTACTATGAGGAACTACTATGAAGACAACAATATGCAAAGTATTCATTATTGAAACTGTCTCACAGCTATTTGTTTTTTATAAAATTAATAAAAAATAAAATAAATGAAAAGTATTCATTATTGAAACTGTCTCACAGCTATTTGAATTTTATAAAATTAATAAAAAATAAATAAATAAAAGAAAGTTTTGCAGGATATATAA